ATTTTTCATTTTTCATTGATACAATTAAAACAAACAGAAATATTTTGGCTTAGGTAAATATGTACATCTATTTCGTAGAAAGATTACGTTTCGGAGAAGACGAAAGACGAAGCGACATAGCAAATAATATACGCAGCATATCTTTTCTTGTGGTTGAGTGTGTTTCATTTTGAACATCCAAGAGAACCAACGTAATAATACATCATTATTTTTATCTCATCTACTGCGCTATTATTCAAAAAATATAAAAATTTTGTATATATCAAAATTATATGATTTTTTTAAATAAAAAAAAGAAAAAGAAAAAGAAAATATAAGCAAACATTATTTGAGTTAATGTGCCAATGTTAATTTCCGAAAATTCACATATTTTTCTTTAGAAATACTGTTATCTTTGTATATTTTAAAAAATAATTTCACAAAAGTTGACAAAAAATAATGTAAGCATGAAAGTACATTTTGATCATAATTATTTTTCTTCTTTTTCGAATAATTTATTTCGATCGATCACACAATGTAATTTTCAATGAAATTACGCGAAATGATTTTCTATTATGTACAATCATACTGATATATTGATACGAATATTGATACAATTAAACCATAAAATGTTAATTTTATATTTTTTAAAAATATAAATATTGTTTTGAAATATTGCATTTCAGATACAATATTATGATATTTTTAGAATTTATCATTTGTTTATTATTTTTATTAAAATCATTTCAATTAAAATGCTTGTCGAAAAGTATAAAAGAAATTATAAAATTATTTGTAACTTTATAATTTCTGTATATATGTTGTATAAATATTCATATTAAAAATATTTATCTTATATATGTTGAATGCAATTCATGTTTTTTTTCAAATATTTAGAAATAATAATGATATTAAATAATTAAATAATTACGTGAAATCACATTACACAAAAAAAATTAATTAACATATAAAGATAAGTATTTATTCATTTTTTAAACCTTATTCTATATTTATCATAAAGAAAAATATAGTTTCATGTGATAATTAATTATCAACGCATACTATTTAAGATACTATGCATATATATATATATATTTTTTTATTGCAATTCAGAAAAAATTGAAAAATAATTTTGTAAAATATCATTAAATATCATATCATAACAATAAAATTAATTTGATTATTATTAATAATTTAATCTATCAACAAATAAAATATGATTAGAAGATATGATTATAAAATTAAATTAATTAATATCGAAGATTTTTATTATAAAACTTTATTTATATATTGCATAAATCCACACGCATATGCTATTTGCAAATTTAAAGACATTTGTATTTAAAATTTTTAAAAATCAAAGAAGCAAAAGTCCCATTAATCATAGATATATCGTAAATAACAAAATCAATTCATTGGTACAGATCATCTGTACTAACCTATATGAAGCTATTTCCCGCGTGCAGATTTAAATGTACACATAACCTCCCTTAGCGATTGTCAGAATCCCCCGTAGCAGAAAAACGCTATGATTCCATGTGAATCATATGGGCTCATGCTGACTAAAGAAAATAACATGACAACGAAGGAAAAGAGAATCTTTAGGTGTTATTAAAAAAAAAAATATTGATTATATTACCTCCAGTTTTTATATCAGCACCTTCTTCTATGGGGATGACCAAAAGTGGAAAAATACCAGTTAATCCAATCATAGTACTTCCAAGTAAAGAAAACAGCCATGTATAATCGAAATATTCTGTAGTTTGCCATGGAATCCACATTTCTTGTGTGATCATTTCATACAGAAATCCCGTCGAGTCGGTACAATTCTGTTGTATACACATGTTTGCCGCCATGTTTATGTGACGTGAATCAAATATTTCGTTTGTCAAAATTTTTTAAATTTTATTGATTTTCTTAATTCTTTAATTTTGTCTTAATTACTTGATTCAAAATCGTCGTAAACGAAATATAACAAACAAATCACAATAAATTTTCTTTATAGTTTGTTTATTCAAAGATAACCTCTCTCGATAATACTTTTAAGAAAATAATTATATTTTTACACTGATTAATAGTCAATAAATAACACTAATGAATATAAAATCTTTCAAACAATGAAATTTCTTTGAGAAGAAGATTTATTAAGAAAATAAGCTAAAAGATTTTGTCGAGACAACGACTACCAAGCGCCCGACTAGCCTACACTGAGGACTGAGTACGGACGCTACAAATCAGGCGGTCGCCGCCTCTACTATTGTCGTCGATCTTGTCGATCAAATCAAGCCTTCTGCTATTTTCCGCCGCAATGCGGGGGATAAGAACTGTCAATGATAAATATCAGGATGACTGTTTATGTATTTCACTCTTAAAAGATTTCACTGTTTCTTGTGTTTTTGTCTTTTATCTTGATTTTCTTTTTTCACTGTATAACTCTTTTCGCTTATTTAATTCGTATTTTTTGCTATAATATTTCATACCACCGAAATAAGGATAGAAAAAAAAATAAAGTTCTTAAAATATTAGCAGGCAAAAAAAAAATTCGTCTTTTAGAATTTCTGTAATTCTGTTTTTTTTTATATTTTTAATGAAAATATTTTAAACTTTAAAAAAATTTGTATAATTACTGATGAAATGAAATAATCACTTTTACCGCCACTATTGATAAACACGATTGCACAACGACACACAATATATGTTTTCAGTTTGTATATTTTTGGTTATGTTACTTCAAAATTGTGGTGTAAGAACACAATAAACGTGTCATACCACTAATTTACAATTAGAATTGCAATATTGTTACTCTATTTTGTTTTATATTTATCTTATTTTGTTAATTAACAAACAATGTATAATAGCACCCATTCGTCACAATGTTCAACAGCTAATGCGTATTATAACGAAGGCAATCCTTTTTATAGCTACTGAAGCGCTACACTAAGTCACTATATATACTTAAAACAGAGATGGACAATATATTTACTTTGAGTAAGAGAGAAAAATAAAGAATAAAAGAATAAAAAAGAAAAAATAGAAAAAACAAGAAAGAGAAATTTAATACAAATCAATAACAAAACAACTAATTATTCCTAATTAAAACAAAAGTCAATATTTGCAAAAATATTAAAAATATAAAAAAAAGAAAATTCATTTTCAACGTTATTGAATATTAAAATCGATAGAGGCGCTGCTGTGCTTCTTTGCTAATCTTTATATATACATATATTTAAATTTAATATAAAATAAATCAAAATATAATTTTTAATATTTAAATAATTAATAATAATATTTAACGATGAAAAAGAGATAAAATCTGTAATATTTTTTTACATATTAAAATATAATATTACATTAGTATTTCAAAGTAGTGAATATTCCAATTTTGTGCAAAATGGCTTCCATATGACAAATATGATAATTAATTTCGTTGGAATAATATTTGTACTGCACTATTTCATATATTCATAATTATTAATATATTTTAATGACAATATAATTAAAATAAAAATCCGATTTTTAAATAGTACGAAAGTAATTATATCATTTTTAAAGATAAAAATGAACACATGATTCATTTAAAATTATTTTTTTTGCAGTGTGTTAAAGTAAATTTGTTACGATCTATTGCGAAACACCACTTTTGCAATCGCCATTTTGATGATCGATTAACGTATAAACATATACTTTTCCTTATTGTTAGATAACAATTGTCTATCAATACCTATTACTGATAAGTTTAACGAATCTGAAAACAAAGAACGGAAAGAATGAACACTACTGATAACATATTGCTATTGTATAGCTATTCGCAAAGACCAGATTAAATGAAAACTGAGATTTCTATCCGGTAAAGTGTTAATTGATTATAAAAGTATAAATAATTATTGAAAAATATCCGGTTGATTTATATCTTGTTTGCCTTTTTTATTTTATTGTTACATATATATATATATATATTTAATACACGCATATTATAAATAACTATTTATATTTATAGGTTTATAGTTACAAATATATCTGAGATCTGCATCATCTTGAATTATACATCTACAGTTGGTAACAATGAATTTAGTAACGCCATCTTTAATTAAAAGTAGCAAATATACAAAAAAATTATATGAAATATCTTTTAAAAATATTTTTTTCTTTTCTTTAATCTAAATTAAAACAATAAAAAAATTGTTAAAATTTTAATATAAAATTTTATATTATCAACATTTAAAAAGTTATATCAATCATTATTTGATAAAAACATTTATATTTATAAAATAATTATAAATAAATCGAATACATTGTAAATATACATTATCTAAAATTCAGTAAATTACAGTTAATGTACATACATTATATGTGGCCTTAATTAATCAAATTGCTAATGGCGCCGAGCCAAATACTACCTATTTGGCTTGTAATCAAAAAGATATTCAACAACTGTCATACATTTATGCTTGTCATTCGAAAAATTTTTCTAATTTGATTTTTAAAAAATTAAAATAATACAAAATCATATTTCTTATAGATTTTTATATGTTATTTTTTTATAATGATATAAACCATATTATTATACATGATATAAACTATTTAAAAAAAAATAATATATATATATATATATATATACATATGTCTCATAATTCTTTATTGTTTTTCATATATTTTATTTCTTGTAAGCTATAAACAAAACAAAAAATTAAAATCCGACAATTTTGAAAAAAGATATCAACATTTAATAATTTTTTATCCTAAATTCTTATCTTATTATAATATTAGATAATGAAATAAATTATTCTCAGATTTTAATCATTATGAAATCAAAGATTGCTTAATTTTTTTTATAATCTAACTATATCTAAAAATAACTATAATAAAAATGCAATGTCAATAATAGGAATTCATAATTTTGATTATCGAATTTTCAAAAAATCCCGCAATATACGGCCCTCTGCTGGCTGTACATCCTTGCGTGGTATAGCTCTCCAGTAAATCTATTTTAGGGAACGACAGAAAGTTAAGATTATTTTAGTTACATTTTTCACCTCCGATCTAGAACGTAGAATACTTAATATCACGATGGTTGAACTGATCAATTTTCGGCAAATATCGTGGGTTGCATATGTGTCGAAATTAAAGATAAATATTTAAGAAAGAGATTGATTTAAAATTACAAAAAAATATCACAATTATAAAATAATTATATAATATAAATATTAACTCGTTTCGTCTAAAAACTATTATTGGAAGATGACTTGTTCTTTTATCCTTCATCAGAAAACGAAGAAGAACGTATGCAATCTCGATTTCCGTAATTCATCGAAATTTAAATCTTTCCATATACTCGTGTTATATAAATTATATATGTGAAATTTTATTTTGCTATGCTCAAGTGTCATTATACGTTAAAAATTAAAATATCAAACATATTGTGAGGATGTGTTCGCAATGATAGAGTGTAATTTTAATCGATATTTGTATTATATAGCAAAAAGAGATATATAAATTCTAATATTTTGGTATTTAAATTTGTTCTCGATCGATCGGTAAATCTTTATTATGGATGCATTTGGACGAAAAATGTCCAATTGGAACGTATTGAGTGTAGAAACCGCTCTTCAACAACTGAATACTTTCGACGAAGATTCCAAGGATTTTATTACACGTTCAAATACGGTAAATTATCAAGAATCTCCCATCATAATTATAATTTTAAACAAACTTATTACATTGATATTCATCACACTTTTTCTTTCACTTGTATTTATGATATTTGTGATCATTGTGCTGGTTAAAGAAATAGCAAATAACGTCGAAATAACATCTCTTGAAAAATGGATTACTCTTTTCTACGTGATATTGCTAGAATGTACTTACTAACGCCTTCTATCTATTCTTATCTCGTCTGACTACCTGACTGACTGCTTTATTTATAACTAATTAAGCTGCACTCGGTTTGAAATGAATCCTAGCATGGTCCAGTCAATCAGAGAACTCTTGACAAATTGGTTCTCGAACCGGGAGCATTTCTTAAATCTTTGCAATGCTTCGAGTTTTTTGAGGTAAATTTACATTGACACGAACAAACTTACTTTCCTGTTCACCTTTCTGCACCCCGATACGATTTCAATAGTTTGATACCGATCGCGAAAGTGATTCTTTTTTAGATTGATCGTACAACTGAACGGATAATTAATTGCATGTTCAACAATGAGCACCTGGCACAAACTGGACGTGGAATTTGCCACAAGTGCTATATCTAGAGAGGATATCGGTACTAGTATTTATCGAAAAATTGTGTCAAAAGTGGTAATTATCCAATTAAACTATACTAATCGATAGTTTTATTTGATCAGTTTGGAAAGTTTTGTAATTGTAGCACGCAATTTCATAGATTTTTCTAAATCCGCAATCTTCTGTTCATGTAAAAATATTCGTCGTTGCATAATTTGACGAATCGTTCGAAGAAGCATCGTAATTTGTAAGGAAAAAAAAAAAAAATATTTAAAAGAAGATGTTATCAATTTCTGTAACGATATTCATTATCGCAGAAAGTCATTCATGACCTTTGTGACAGAAATTGAGCAAACAAGAATTACAAACAAAAATTGTTAATTATATGAAAAGGAAAAAATTCAGACGTAGTATTTATTCCATCTTGTTATTTAATCGAAACACTCGAGTCTTTAATATCTTAATGTAATAACATTGATAATCAGATAACGAGATCCAAGTGTTTTATCGAGAAAAATGATTTAATTTTTTGTTGTAATACTTACTGACAAAATTGAAAAAAAACTAATCGTTGATTAAAAATCTTTATATTTTTTATCCTCTGAAATCAATAGATTGGAATTAAAAATAAATTAAAAAATAGGAAGATAACAGTGAATACATCAATAAATATAATAAATCAATAAAATAATTAATAAAATTTTGTCGAATATGTTTGCATAAAGATTAAAAATAAAAATAAGAGAAATAAAATAAAAATTGTGGGACAAAAGTTAAGAAATATAAATATTTTAGTTGATTTAATTTATTTTTAATGAAAATAGCAATGTTTGTGTAAATAATAAGATGTAAATAAGATGTTGGATAACCTTTGAATTTCATGATAACATTTATTTTTCATTGATTTGATTAATCGAATACAAAAGTTTCAGTCCGTCAATTCCTGATTTATTGGTGATGTTTAATTGATGCCAATTAATGCCCTAATGCTCAATTAAATTCAAATCTGGGAATTAACTTGAATATTTAATTACATTCACATTTTTCCCTGTAAAGATTCTTAAATTCTAATTCGTCTTAATTAATTTAGAAGAATATATTGAAACATTGTTTCATTACACGTAACTGTATATGAATTTATATAATGTGATGATACACAAAAAATAAATTTATCCTATTTTGCTTTGAGAAAAAAAAAAAGAAACACATTAATGTTGGATTGCTCTTAAATAAATTGAATATTTTACTGAAGATGAAAAAACGATAAAATTCAATTTATTCAAAAATGATATTTCTTGATATAAAATTTAATATAAAAAAGATATAAGACTTAATATAAAAAATTATGAAATGTTAAAAATATAGATTCAATCTTATCTTTAATTAATTAATTAATCGAATGAAGGTTACAAATGTCATGGAATCATGAAAAGAATTATCCAACTTCATCCTTGGAACAACATTTACACGTCACATTTTTTTCGTGAAAAATTTAGTTACATTATTTGAGTAAAGTATGTTTCTTAACTTTTATCTCACAGCTTTTGTTTCATTTCTTCGACTCAATATTATCAAGTCTTTATGGAATCGTATTCGAAAAAATGTTTAATACTTATTGATATATAGGCTGTTATCTATTTTATTTTTTTAGTCTCGATCTATTGATTCTAGAGGATTAAGAAATATAAAAAAACTCGAATAGTTTGTTTTTTAACTTTTATATGCCTTTGTACAAGTATCACGTGCATGAATTTGTTTTTGACGAAGTCTCGTGTCGGAGAAGTTCCAAGTCTTACATCAACTAAATATCACTTTGGCAAATTTCTGATTTCAAATTTTTAGAAAATCTGTAACATTTTATGTATCTGATAAAATGATTGTCTAATATTTTATGGTGATTGTCCAAACAAAGTAAAAACAAATCAAAAAATACAAAAACAATTATATTTTCTTTGATTTAGAGAAGAATGGAAACAAGTTTTATTCACATTAAAGAAGAAATAAACGCGTTTAGATATTTTTAAAAAATGGTTTTATTTATTTTCATTATTCATGGGGCATTTTTGGTGAATCTATTTTAAACATCAAAACAAACAGTTGTTATATAAAAATATTGATCGAGGCTTATTTATTAAATTAATAATTAAATGAATTTGCGTAACACGAAGCGAGATGGAAATAAACCCTATTCTCTTTCTTTATTTCTTCTAAAGCGAATTCAAATTGCTTATAACTCATAATAAATAAAACCGATATTTTTCCATATCAATTTTTATGTTTGTTTGTTTTATAGACTTATATATAGATATATTTCATACACGTGCAAAGAGTTCTAAATAAGAGCCATAGCGAAACTCGCGAATATTTCTTAAACTTTGCCCAAAATTTGACGTTTCACGGGAACACAAGGAAATGCACTTTGGCTACAGGTGACGAGTTTAAAATTAAAGTTGAGACGGACCTTCCAAGTCTTATATTTAGGACGACGCGCAGGCGCGATCCGATTAGAAATCCCGTGGAAGACTTAGAACTTCTGATTCCTTGGAATCCACCAAGTATCGCAATTTTCACGAATTCACCGAACAATTTATTCCTTTTTTCCTTTTCATATCCGTGTCTTATTCTTTCACGGTGCAAGCTTCGATTCGCGCCCGATTTAAATCGAAAGAAAAATCATCCGATAGATCGTCCTGTCGAAGTAAGCCCCGTGATAACACGTTCTCTTAAAGAAACCATCCTGTTACGAGTTAGTTATAAAAAAATAACAAGATGGATCTCGGGGGTGTCGATGTGTGGGGTCAAATTGCCGTGGAAACGTCTCAGATGTTTGTGTCTGAGGGCGGCGTGGTTAAAAGTCGTTTCGCTGGAACGGTAAGTGACGAGCTTTATAACGAAGAAGTATTTGGAAAGTATTGAGAAATTATGGAGAAAAGTTTAACTTTTAGATTTGATTTTCAAACTGTTTGATTGTAAATTGATTAATTAAAAATTATTATTTCTCATTTTTACCAGACGATAGAAAAACTTCCGGATAAGGTGTTGCTGAATATCTTCAGTTACCTATCTCATCGCGAGATATGCAGAGTAGCACGTGTGTGCAAGAGATGGCGGCAAATTGCTTACGACACGCGATTATGGAAACACGTATCTCTACGACCGGAAATTAGTGGATTGCACGTGAACTCGTTGGATTATCTGCTTCACTTAATCAGGTAGAAAATACATTCTTTGTTGTAAATGACAGGAAATATTTGTTTTTAAATCAGAAGTGTATTAAGATAACGCGTTAAGATATTAGCAGTGAATATGATAGATCAAAGCATAAAATAATCTTCTTCGATACGTTTCAGCACACGTTTTGGAGCTTCGTTGAGGTATATAGAACTGCCGATCGAATTGATCACTCACACGGTTCTTCATGAACTGGCAAACAAATGTCCTAATTTAACTCACATGCTCCTCGACTTTTCCACTGCCATGCAACTGCACGATTTTTCGGAAATGCAAGCCTTCCCAACCAAGCTGAAATACATGTGCATCTGCCTGTCAGAGGTAATCTTCATGGAGGGTTTTATGAGAAAGATTTATAACTTTATCAATGGTTTGGAGATTCTTCATCTTATAGGTTCGTGTCTTGAATAAATTCCTATGACACCACCTGTTTCAACGAGAAATTACACGTAATATTTTATAGGAACGTACGAGAAAGTGGAGGAGGAAGAGGAAGAAATTTACGAGGTGATAAACGTGCACAAGTTAAAATCGGCAACCCCCAACTTGCGAGTGATCAATTTATACGGGATCAATTTCGTAGATGATTCGCACATCGATGCATTTTCTTCCAATTGCATTCAACTCGAATGTTTAGCAGTGAATTTTTGCGCCAAAGTCACTGGCTCGACCATGAAGACTCTATTCCAAAGAAGTAGAAGATTGAAATGTCTCCTCATGCAAGGAACAAGTGCATAGTCGAAACTTTTGTCTCAAACTAACTAATTTCGTTCTTAATCGTATATAAATTTGAAAAAAAGATACTACGAATCTTTTACAGATCTCCAGAGTGAATACGTGATGCAAGTAGAATGGGAAAAGTCGAGTATCCAGGAACTTGATGTGACTGCAACGGATTTGTCAACGGAATGCCTGATCGACATGTTGACCAGAATACCAGGCCTTCGTTTTTTGAGCGCAGGTCAGTTGAACGGCTTCAACGATAGCGTGTTGAAAGCCTGGGCTGAGGCTGGAAATCCTCGAAACCTGATCGCTCTGGAGTTGGACAGTTCCGATAATCTGACCGATGATGCTCTACATAAATTTTTATCAAGATACGGTCATCAACTCTGGGGGCTCTCCTTATCCGGCATGCCTCACATCACCGATCAACTATGGCAAAGTGTATTACCTATATTGACCAATGCCAAGTGAGACGTGCATTTGTTATATTTGAACACGATTCAAATCAGGTATCTAAAAAAAAATTAATTCTAAAAATTTCTTTTTTAGAATTCTCGTAATGGGAACAGTGGAAAGGTTAGGCGTGAATATTCATGTGGACCAGTTGATGGACGGAATTGCTAACAATTGTCCAAATTTAGAGAGGTTAGAACTTCGCTGGGATCCAGAGAATCTTCGATTCTCCGACAAAAGTCAAAAAGCTATAGATATATTACGTGTAAAGTGTATTAAATTACGGTGTTTAAGCTTGAGGTAAGTTTGTAATTAAAAAAAGTTGTAAATGTAGTAATAAATACGTTATATTTATATAATATATTTATGGAATCGATGCGTTTGCAGCGACGGAAGATACTATGAAATAGTTAAGGCTAATTTCGAACGTGCTGACAGATTGACGGTTGTTCGCACAACAACGTGCTGCCGCGTGTCTAGTTACTACCTCTTAGCCAATTATAAGGATTTAATTTTTAATTAATTTTTATAACACATATATTTATAATACGATGAGAGTGATTCATTGCCAAAAGATCGAATTATCGAAACGAATAAGCATATCGAAAAGGTGATACATTATATTTTAAATATAACAGTTAAAACAGATATTACGAAATATATATTGTTCATCATAAATTTTTTGTTTCAGTTAATGAACCATGACGGAACCATGATGGAACAAATTATCTCCAATTACTTGATTACTTATATACCTTGTATTACTATAAGAAGTCATGCGATAAATAACAGATATATATATTTTTATATTATTTTCAAGCGTGTAATACACGAGTAAATAAGTTTATTTTTTAAAATTCAAATCATTTTATGATATTAGTGTACTAAGAAAGGGGGAAAAAGGCAAGAATAATGAATCGATAAAAAAAGGATAATTATGTGATCAATGAAAACCATTACGAAAAACCTTGACACTTAAAAAAAAGAATAGGATCCATTGCATTCAACAAGGAATTCATAATTAATCGAAACATTGTCATAGGAAAAAGTTTGCCGAGTGTACAATACAGGCGAGCAAAGGTACGCATGATACCTGTTCGTGTGGTATCGATTATTCGTTAATTTATTCAAGCAGCTATATAGACGACGACGTCGCACTGGCCACGGCCGGTCGGTCGATTCGCTCGATTTCATTCTCTAGCCACATGCCAGACCCTTCGTTTATATGTTGTATTATAGTCGACGTAGAACCGTCTCGTGGCCAACACGACTTTTCGCATGATAATCCGAAACTTTTTGTATCTCGTCGTGTTTCTTCCTCTCGCGCTCCTTTTATCCCGATCTTCCCAATGTCTGACATCGAGGAGGAGCTAGTGGTAAGAAAGCTGAAGATCGTCCTTGTCGGTGATTCTGGATCCGGAAAAGTGAGTTTTCCAGTGTTTCCTATCAAAAGTTTAATTGAAATCCAAAGAAATAACGTATTGTTTGTATTTTCTCATCATTTTCATAAAGAAGAAAAATATCGATTTGGTACATACGAGAAGGATCGATGTAACAATGATTTAAATTGTTTCGAGTTCAGTGTGCCTGAGCTTCAAGGGAACTAAGCAACATATCGATTTATTTTTTCCCTACGAAGTGGTCAGTGCCATTATTAGACATACTTTTGCAAAACAATAAATATTTTATAGTTAGCAGTTAGTTACATTATTTATGTTTATTTTTGTTGATTAATAAACGTTCAGTTAGAAATTTTTGTCATTCGAAGCGTTGTATATTGATAGTAATAAATTCCTTATAATTGAATACAGTTCAAGTTGCATATTCGTGACTCAAGCTATTTTGCATATATCTCTAATTCTTTCTCTCGCCAAAATTCACTTGCATTCTAATTATTACTGTATTACTAGTTCTCAAATAATTACTAGATGTATTATTAACTAGAGACGAGCAGATATCGTTTCTTCTTTTTATCATTCATACATTTTATCATTGTAAAAAATTATTCTTTGAGACGATAGTTTGTAATAATAGAATAGCAATTCTGAATAATTGAAATTCAAGGATTCCTGTTTAGACAAGTATCGCTCAGAAATTTTGCAACAACGAGTTCACGAGACAGTATACACCAACATCTGGGATCGACTTCTTCCTGAAAAACATCAGTGTTGGCTATTATAAAAACGTTAACCTACATTTATGGGATGTCGGTGGTCTGGCGCTACATGGAAACATGTTGGACAAATACGTCTTCGGCGCTCATGTAAGAAAAAGGAATGCATCTAACAGACATTCCAATAAGATATTACCATAAAAACATATGGATCATAATTTTATTTTTAAGAAAAAAAAAAAAAAATTTTTTTTTCAGATCATTCTTTTAGTCTACGATGTTACGAATAGTTTCAGTTTTGAAGTTTTAGAAGAATGGATAGATAAAATCAGAAAGTTGAGCAGTAATTATGAGGAAACACCATTGATGGCTGTAGTTGGAAATAAATGCGATATGGAACATCAGAGGACAGTGAAAAAGGATCGAACACACAAATTTGCCGCAGACAATGGATTCCCGTCTCATGATGTTTCCGCTAGAACCGGTGAAGCGGTAAAAAATTCTTTAAACAATGAAAAAAACGTATCCTGTTCTCCGTTTGAAAAAATTGATTTTTGTTCCAGGTTTCTTTGTGCATAGTAACTTTAGCTGCGCAAATCTTGGGTGTTCGATTAACGAAAACAGATCAAGACTATCACAAGCCTATAATAATCGCGGAAATAGGTGACACAGTAGACATGAACACGGTTCAAAAAGTTGTTAAAAGAATCCCCACAAAAAGACATACTCAAATTCCCTTTCATCCCCATTTCCCTAGCTCGAAATCAGCAGTTTGCGTGTTGCAATAAAAATTATCGCAATGAGAAGTGATTTTTATAACATACAATATTTTTTTCACGCACAGCTAGAACAGATTTTGTACAAAATAGAATAGAAACGAGAAATGACGTGTACATAAGATGTTTGAGCAAATATTTTTGACTACTTTCTTACTATTTCTTATTACATAAGAGTTCACAATATTACTTTGAGGGGCCAATATAATAAACCACTAGTGTCTTCTTCGTAGATTTAAAAACAAATTTATTTATCGATAAGATCTTACTACTTACGATAATATCATCAATCAACGTAACAAACGTTGTTAAAAATATTTTTACAATAATGGTAATATTATTCATTATAATGATGTACATATACTGTTGATTGAATATATGTCATGAGTTTGTATTCGAATCTTCGATAATTTTATATAAATGCTTGTGGAAAGATTCTTTAATATTGAAAATTATTAATTAAGAAATCATGATATAAGAAAAATTCTGTAATTGATTGTAAATATTCTGTAAGATTAAGTAAAATATTATAACAGTTCAAAGATCGAGAGAAAAATTATTCGATCGTTAAAGAAATTGCAGATATATCTCTATTTTTATAAACTATTGATTCACTGATTTTTTCTATAACTAATTAATCTAATTATTAATGGCACTAATCATGCAAAACAATACGTATACTAAAATCATAAACATACAAAACAAAACGCATACAACAAGGAAACGAATATTTAACAAATAAGAATAAGTATGTGTAAACCGCAGTATGTGCGTATTAAAATAATCATTTCGAAAAACATATAAAATATACATAGGAAGCATTAAAGCTTTTTTCGTTGGGAATTAATATGATATAGATATTTATAAAATAGTATATAATATTTTTCATTGTTCAAACGACATTATTAATAATCAAATAATTAATTAATTTTGGAATTAATTCTTAAATTAACTTCATTAAATATATTGACATTATATATATTCTAAAAATGCTAATTAGAAAACTTTTATTTGCTTATAATTATAAATATCAATTATAAATTATTAAAAACTTTCATACGAATGTTTAAATAAATCAAGAAAAGAAATTCATTTTTCGGAAGCAAATTACTAACGATATTAATTTACGGACGGTGCAGTCGATAAAATTTGATGCACTTCAATTGAGATATAGAGCGTATCCTATACGTTAGACATATGGTGCAAAATTATAATTTTATAGATTCTATATACCATGGATTATTTATTTATCCCTTTAGAAAAGAAGAATTTCAAATGTCTCAATCAATATATCGCTTCTTTGTTCATTCTAGTGCGATCTTCAGTCTCATATTACATTGTATGGAAATTATTTGTTTATTATAAATCAGATTTTGTTAATGGTCTTCTTGGCCATATGTTCTTTTCTAAAATTTTTTCTTTAGCCTCCCATAATTGAGTTAATTTCTCATTTAAAGGATCAATATATGTTTCTATCCATTCTTGTATGGTATAATTATCATATATATTTTCCATAGATGATCTTATTTCTTTTTCAATATACATTATTTCCATCTTATATTTATCCAAATCAGCAATTGCTCTTTCTACATGACTAGGATTTGAAAATGCATATTTTAAATTGTATGATTTCAACCATCCTTTAAAGGTATTATCCTGCTCCATTTTATTGATTTCTTGAGTCAAAGAAAACAATCTCAATGTGGCAGCATAAATAGATACACCATGATAATTACATTTGGTCCAACCATATTGCGGTTCTGGAATACTCAAAGAAATGATACCCTCACATTGTAAAGCTTGTAATACTGGAGTAGGTACTTCTACTGGGAATCTACATAAATCTGGAGCTTGTAAGATAGCTAAATTTACAGCAAGTGAGGGTATGGCAGATGGTAAAAGTTCACAAAGTACACTGAAATGATCGTATCTTTGCCATCCAGTTAAAATCGCACCTTTAAATCTAATCTGAGCAGAATATCTATTGATAATTTCTAACCAACGTTGATGGTTTTCTATATGATAAGCAATATCTGTGTAATATCTATCTGGTGCAGTGGCACCTTTGAAAGCTGTAGCAATCCAAATATTCTTCCAAACTGATGCATAGCTTTCCCACAATTGATCTGTTAATGATACTCCAGGATCAGTAGTATATTTCCAAACAACAGGTTCTACCATTAAATGTAAACCTCTGTCTATTATTTCATCAGATGCTATTTCTCTAAATTCATCATCCCACATAAGAACTGTAAGTTCTGGATACTTATTTTTTATATACTTTGCTACATTTGAAACATGATCCAAGAATAATTGTTTTTTACCCCATTGTTTTTTAATTATTATGTCTGAACATCTAGAACATTCTCCTATTTGATAAACTTCATCAGCTCCAATATGTAAATGCTTTATATCAGGATGCGCTTCTATTATTTGATCTAGCATTTCATATATCAATGGAAGAGTTTTATTATATGTAGGACATAAAACTTGTGGATAACGTGAAACTTCTCTATAATCTTTATATTTATCTAATTTTAGAACAAATTCCATGTGACCAAAAGTTTGAATCAATGGTATAACTATCAGTTGATTTTCATTAGCTATTTTTTGAATGTTAGTAATATCCTTCTTGGTATAACAATTACCTGCACTGATATTTTGTATTATTCCTTCAAAAGGAAACATATCTTCATATTCTATAAGTATACCAGTGGCACCTAATTTTTTGAGCAAACGTAGCAGGTACTTATAATAACTTGCCTTTGGAGGAGCACCCTTTAAATCCAAATGTACAATTTTGTGACCTTTAAACAAGGGAACTTCTATACGTGATCTATCATAATTAAGATCACTGAATATCTTGCCTCCACCACTTTTTAACTTTCCCATTATATGAGCCTCTATTTGTTGTTTTCTGGCAATACTAAGAGGATTCTCTGTGAGATCACTCAATGGATAAACTTCTTCGATTTTAAGTCGTGGATTTAATTTATTGGACGTAATGTCCTTGACCTCATTACCGAGAATATGATAAATAATAATCAATAGGGTAAAACTGATCATTATAATGATCATTAAAGAGGCTCTGCCTCTTAGTCGCGTCATGATTGTCAATCCAGCAGAACATTAAGATTAATTTAATATTATTTATATTTCGAAGCTTTTGTTTTTTATGGCACAATTCTTCTTAATGAATGTCGATTGTAGCTAATACTGTTTTTAAGCTCATAATTCAAATTGAACTTACAAATTACAATATGGTTTCATTATCACAAAATAATATAATAATTTTTAGTTAACTGTTTCGCTATGAAACAATATAAATTTTTTCTTTATCACAGATGAAAGATAGAAATAATAGATAATTGTTTCTGCTATATATAGTAATAGTAATAAATGTTATCACTATAGAGAATCAGGCTAGACAACTGTTAATGATATAATTGATATGAAAATTAATATGAAAATTACAAGATATTTTGCATTAATCTAATAAAATCGTTTTTATATCTAATTTATACATATAATTGTATATTTTACTTAAAGAAGAGATAAAAATATCATAGGAACATTTTGGACCTAATATGTATGTATCTCTATAATATCTCTATATAATTATTGGATATTATCGCAAATGTGATAATAATATTCTCTAAATTATATAACATTTTTTTATATTACACAAAGTGTTATATTATTTATAATATTTTCATTAATTATTATAGATTGTATAAAATTTTTAAATCAATAATATTTTTTAACTTTTCAATAATAAAATGCATAATTAATAAACATCATTTTAATATTTTATAGAATAATAGAAAATATTTTATATTATTAATAAAGAAATATTAATTAACAATTCACATTTATATCTTTGGATTTCGAGTGAATATATGTATATCAAATCAGGGCTGCCACTGTCATACGTTTAATCTATAAATAACAGCTCATCATTCTGAATTTACTTAATGAAATCCAAGCTTGATAATTTGTGACAATGTTGAATTAAGGCAGGTTTGGTATTTACGCTGTAATCTCATTTGGATTCTTCAAAATATTCTTTTTAAATTATTGAATTATCGTCGAGTAAAACGTGTTAAGATAAAGCACTAAATTTGATCAATAATTTATGCATAAAATAACGTTCATTAAACATATAAAATACAGAATGAAGATCTATTCGAATCTAAGAACGAAAATAGAGTTCTCATATGTTTAACAAGAAAATAATCAAAGACGAGCGAAATCGGAGAGGCTCGTAGCCGTGTAATCGAATCCTTAGCAGCGAAATCTTAAATCCTAGTCCTTTATCTTATTTCCAGTTTCCGCGAACTGTACAGCCCACCCGTTACATACTTAATGAACGTGACTCATATCTCTTTAGTTATGATGAGAGTAGGGGAATAATTCTAGACAATAAAGCTGTTTAATGATGCCACTCTACGGGAGTTTAAACCATACGCTTGGAATAACGCGCGTTTTGCAACTTTTACGATTCTAACTTGTTATAATATTCAATATGATTAATTTTATACACGAATTATATTTATAATTTAATTATTATTTTCTTTCTACAAAAAAATAAATAAATGAAAGAAATAATAAAATGAAACGAATAAATGCTCTTTCGTATTTAATATACAACACGTAAAAAAAAAAATATTTCTTTTCGAATATATATTATTACCAATATTTAAAGAGAAAATTGAATTTGGAATTATGTCGTTATTATGTAGTCGAGCTTTGGTGTTTTTACGATCATAAATAATATTTAAATAACATGAGCAAGTAAAAATGATAAAAGTACTGGATTCTTAGAACTGGAAATAAAATTATTTTTTCGAAACATTGTTACCAATGAAAAACATGTGTTGTGCTTTGCTGAAAACTATTTAATTCTTTTCCATTTTCTTCCATTAATTCGAAAAAGCAAAGAGCGTCAACGCGCTTTCATAGCAACCGAATCGAGACAAAGACTTAGCTTCAACGATTATTCAGAAATCATGACTCAAATCCACATATGTAGACGCTGTATCTATATATTTATTCAGTTTTTTGCGATTATACTTACAGCTGTAAAAAAAAAAAAAAAAAACCATATTGGAGGGAAATCATGAAAATCGGTAATAATATTGTTTCGTTAATGCACCTGATTTCTGCATACTTTAACGAATACATAATATATACGTTTATTTGGGTTATCGATCCAGTAAACTGAAACTCGAGAGGCAAAATCCTTGTTTTGAAACAGAAGTTCAACACGCTCGATTAAAATAGTTACGCATAAGTATATTTCTTCATGGCTTCGTTGCTCGATGTTATTCTACGAATAATATAATTTTATCACTTGCGTTCTTCTGGTTTAAAATTTATCAAAACTGTTGCGCGAAAAGCACCGAAATCTGTTATTCGTCTTGGTATGCATAAAGTATACATTTGATGTTTGTCAAAGTTGATAACACAAGCAAATCGCGGTGAATGTCTTTGACGATCGTTTTGATTAGGCAACGTGTCAAAGACAGTCGTGTACCCGGTGCACATTCCCTTGTGGAAATTCTCGTTCTTGGCCACATACACATATTACGTGCTTTCGTGCTTCGAAATATATACATAGGGATATGTAAGTATTATATTCTCAAAAGCCTTTCCAGGCTGACAGATCCGGTGATAAGGCATATTATTAAAGAGAACTCTGCTCGATGCATTGAGCAAGAAACGGCCAATTACGCGAGAAAACGTTTCTTCGTTCGTTTTATATGCTATCAAAGAAGTGTC